TTGAATGTTGAATTTCTTTCACTGTTGATGATTCTCTAACTCAGGGCTGATATAATCTGGCAGAAATGAAAGAAGATTCAACTTTTAGTGGGATGCTTGGAACAGGTGATCAGTATACTTCATTGGAGCTCACACTTTACTTCATGAGCTTTCTCTCTGACCAGTGTTGATCCTTCCCAAACTCACTAAAGATTGTTTCCATATATTTGAACCTGGTGCAAATTTTTATGTAGTTTGGGGGGAAAAAAATCAATACTCTAATGTTGGTATTCAAAGCATGGACTATGTTCCATAAGCATCCTTATCCTGGGAGTTTGCTAAAAATGAAGAATATTAAGTCCATCCAATTGCATTTTAACAAGATCTTCTAAGTGAGTGATTCACACAAGGGCACTTCATAAAGTTTGTGGAAAAATTCCATTGTCTCTTAATTTCGTTTTTCCATGAACTTTTTGAAGTCCCTTCATATGCCCATTATATATTAGGAAACGCTGCTCTAGGTGAAGTTAAGATCGTGTTTGATGTTGTTGGTGTTGTTGTTAAGAGCCTTAAAGTTGGTTCTGACTCACAGTGACCCTGTATAGGGATTCTGAAGAGCATCTGGTGAGTCTGAATTGCCAACCTTATGGTTTGCAGTCCAGTGCTTATACTGACAAGCAATTCAGTGACAATTCAACTTTCTCATAACAAGCCACCATCCAAAACCTTTTCCAAAATACACATATAGTAAACTAGACAACAAGCTAAAGAGATGATAAAGTTAATTTCTTCTATCTATATCTTATGATCACCTTTTCTAAGTGATCATAAGACTAGAGAAAGAAGAAAGTATATTGAGTGGAAGCAGATGGGAATGGGTTGTACCTTAAGTTAACATTCATGACCAATATATTAGGAATGCGTGATCTTCAATCAGATAATGTGCTGAATAATTGTTGAATTTTGTAGGTTATGTAAGCCATGACATTTTCAAATGTCTCATATGCAGGTGAAAGTTGGGTAATGAATATGGAAGAATCAATTAATTTGAATTATGGTGTTGATGAAGAATATTGAAAGTACCATGGACTGCCAGAAGAAAAACCAAATCTGTCTTAGAAGAAGAACAGCCAGAATGTTCCTTAGAGGCTAGGATGACGAGACTTTGTTTCTCATACTTTGGACATATTATCAAGAAGAGATAGTCTCTGGAGAGGGACATCATGCTTGGAAAAGTGGTTGTTGTTATTGTTAGGTGCCATTGAGTCAGTACCGAACAAAACACTGCCTGATCCTGCACCAAACCTCACAATTGTTGCCATGTTTCAACCTGTTGCTGCTGCCATTGTGCCAATCCATCTTGTTGAGGGACTTCCTCTTTCTCCGACCCTCCACATTATCAAATGAGATATTCTTCTGTAGGGATTGGCCCCTTTTGATAACATGTCCAAAGTATGAGAGATGACATTTGGCCATCTTGGCTTGCAAGGAGCATTCTGGCTGCACTTATTTTAACACAGATTGGTTTGTTCTTTTGGCAGTCCATGGTACTTTGAATATTCTCCTCCAACACCATAACTCAAATGCATCAATTCTTCCTTACTCACTGTCCAACTTCCATATACAAATGAGGTTATTGAAAATACCAGGGCTTGCATCAGAAGTTCTTTAGTCCTCAAATTGACATCTTTGCTCTTGATCACTTTAAAGAGGTCCTGTGCAGTAGACTTGCCTAATGCGATACATCATTTGATTTCTTGACTGCTGCTTCCATGAGTGTTGTTGACTAATATGAGCAAAATGAAATCTTTTCACAACTTCAATCTTTTCTACATTTATATGGATGTTGTTTACTGGTTCAGTAATGAGGATTTCTGTTTTCTTTACTTTGAGATACAACCCATATCAAAGGCTGTGCTCTTTGATCTTCATCAGTAATTATTTTAAGTCCTCTTCACTTTCAGCAAGCAAGGTTGTATCATCTGCATATCGCAGGTTCTTAATGAGTGTTCCTCCAATCCTGATGCCATGTTTTTCTTCATAGAACCCAACCTATCAGATTATTTGCTCAGCATACAGATTGAATAAGTATGGTGAAAGAATACAATCCTGGTGCAGACTTTTCCTAATTTTAAACCACTCAGTGTTTCCTTGTTCTGTTCGAAAAACTTCATCTTCATTTATGTACAGGTTCCTCATGCACACAATTAATTGTTCCAAAATATCCATTCTCCTAAATGTTGTCCATAGTTTGTCATGATCCACAAAATCGAAAGCCTTTGCATAGCACAGGTAAACATCTTTCTGGTATTCTCTGCTTTCAACCAAGATCCATATGATGTCAGCAATGATATATATCCCTCATTCCATGTCCTCTTCTGGCAAAGTGGAGGGTCAGCAAAAAAAGAGGAAGACCCCCAACAATGGGCTCAAATATAACAATAGTTGTGAGGCTGATGCAGCTCCGGGCAGTGTTTCATTTTGTTGTGCCTGTTACGTAGCACTAACTGCATTATGCTACAATGAGGAATAAACAAGACCATGCGGATAATGTGCTTTGTAAGGTACCTGGCAGATGGTAAAGCCTTCAGGAAAACTTAAGGTAGAAAACCTGATTTTAAAAGACCAGCTGATTTTAAAAGGTGTCAAAATAATCTTTGGAAAACGGCAACAGTGCAACAAAACACTGACTTTCCTGTAGGGATTTTGTTGTTGTTTTCAGTGCCATTGAGTTGGTTCTGATTCTTAGTGACCGTCTCTATGTAAGGTTTCTGAGGAGTGGCTGATGGGTTTGAACCACCGTCCTTGTGGTTAGCGGTTCAGTGTTCATTCTGCAACACCACACCATGACCCTTTTGTGGGGGGAAAGGGGCTTAATTGTAAAAAGATAAATCACCTTTGCAAATTCAATGCTTTTCATAGATACAATGGAATGACACCAGTTACAGGAATCACGTGCAACCACCACTGATATTCTTTAGGAAAAAGCTTAAAGTAAGCCAAGAATATTATTGGTACTGACAATTCCAATACCTTTTCCTTCCCTTCTCTTGAATACTCTCCAAGAAAGAACATATTGCAGAATGATGACCCTTATTTTTTGATGTTTCCCTCTAACAATTTCAAATCAAAACCACCCTGTTTAAAAGGAAGACGCCCACTACAAAACTATTTAGACTAGAAGGTGAATGACTGCCTGGCCTTCCTTTATGCATTTAGAAGAAACACTTAGCTTTATCCTATTACTTTTATAAGAAGATTTTTCTCCAATAGCAGCTTCAAGAGATTAGATGGATTGTTACAAAAATCAATGTCACACAACTCACAAGGTGAATAAGCTGTGGTCTCAAGGCATAAAGTGTTTGGGGGTGGGAGGTTGGAACACTTTTTTTTTTCCAGCCTCTCCATTAAACTTAGTAAATTACTTTTCCAGCTCATTAAATAGAACTGAGAGAGCTACAAATGATCCTCCCAAAGTGATTCTCTTACTAACCTAGTCATTTCTGAGCCATTAACTTTGACTGGAACCAGTCATTTCAATGTGAACATGACTGACAATGATTCTTCAAAAATAATATTCAGTTTGCAAAATAAACCTCAATAATAAATAGTAACAGTAAAATGCAG